GGGCCCGGTGCACGGCGGGGCCGGGAGCGGGGGTGCAGGCAGCGCAGAGCCCGGTGCAGCGCGGGGCTCGCCTTGTGCACAGCCCGGTGCAACGCAGGGCATGGCGTGTGCATGGCCAGGGCACGGCAGAGAACGTCTTGTGCATGGCCCGGTGCAATTCAGGGTAAGGCTTGTGGTCAGTGCACAGCACGGCACAAGAGTACGGTGCAGGCAATGCACAGCCCGGTGCATGGCAAGGAATGTCTTGTGCACAGCCCGGTGCATGGCAGAGAACGGCCTGTGCACAGCCACGGCACAGCCCAGTGCACAGCAGAGCATGCCTTGCACATGGCCTGGAGCCCGGCGAGGGGTGCAAGGCAGGGCATGCCTTGGGCATGGCCACGGCACAGGCTGGTGCAAGGCAGGGCATGCCTTGTGCATGGCCACGGCACAGCCTGGTGCAAGGCAGGGCATGCCTTGTGCATGGCCACGGCACAGCCTGGTGCAAGGCAGGGCATGCCTTGTGCACAGCCAAGGCACAGCCTGGTGCAAGGCAGGGCATGCCTTGTGCACGGCCAAGGCCATGAAGAACGTGTCTTGTGCATGGCCCAGTACTTGGCAGGGTATGCCTTGTGCGTGGCCAGGGCACAGCAAGGCACGGAGCAGGGTGCAGCCAATGCACAGCCCAGTGCAATGCAGGGCAGAGGCCAAGTTGCAGCCCAGCACGGTCCAGTGCGCAGCAGGGCATGGAGCAGAGCACCACCCTGGACACGGCTTGTGCACAGCCAGGGCACGGAGCAGGGTGCAGCAATGTTGCAGCCTTGTGCGATGTAGGGCACAGTTGGCACACAGCCGTGTGTGCCCTGTGCACCACAGGGCATGGAGCAGAGCATGAAGCAGGGCACAGTCCCGACCACAGCAGGGCACAAACTGGCGCATACTGGGACACGGCAGGGCACAAACTGTCGCACACTGGGGCGCTGCCAAGCAGGACTGCTTTTATTTCACTTGAGAGGAGGCAGTAATGCCCACCCAGCACCAGTGGGGAAATTTAATGCATTCGGTTTTCATTTTGCATAATTAAATTAATCATACAATCAGCAAATGGCATTGCTCCGGAGACAGAAAACTCTCCAAATGCCCCCCAAAAACTCCATCCCCACAAACAGAATAAAAGCAAGAAAAACAAGCAGGAGAGAAAGGAGCAAAGGACGCGCTCGGGGTGATAACCGAGCAGCTCCAGCAAATAGCCTGATCTGCACTGGCTTATTAACAACCATAGGATCAACGGAGCTGAGCCTTTTTGATTTCGCTTCTCATGTAGGGCATCATTTGCATTGTTCAGTAGCAATTTCTGTACAACCAGCCCAAACGTGAGCTGTGCATCCAACCCTTTTCCACCTGTGAGCTTCCCCCTCCCGAATACAGCATTATCTGGACACTTTTTTTCCTAGTAACATGGAATTTCAACGATTTTGTTTTTGCCATTTCCCTGCAGTGAAGTGGGGCCGGCATCTGCGAACTGGTGCTTGAATCAGAAGATAAGTGAGAAGAATGGATAACTTAATGCTATAAAAACCATTTGCCATTGCATCGTCCCCCAAAAAAACCCGCTTACACGCTGGGGAAATGGGGGAAAGTTCTCCTCCGCTGCTGAAGGCCACGCTGCTCACACCTTCTTGAGGTCCTCGGGGCCGAAGGAGAAGGGCAGCAGCTCCTCCAGCCTCTTGACGATGTAGGTGCCATCTGCTTTGGTCAGGTAGACATCCCAGTCTGCGCCAAACTGGAGGAGAATGGGAGGGGAGAAGCCCCGATGCAAAACCTGTGCTTCTTCCTTAAATTATTTAAATAAGCCTATTTTTCTTTTTTTTTTCTTTTTTTTTTTCCAAAAACTCCAAGAATCCCTACTATTGCATGTATTTTGGGGCAGATTTTAGGCATCATGGGATTTTGGGCTCAGATCCCACGTTTTTGCCCCCACAGGGTGAGCCCCAGTGCCCCCGAACTTGCCAAGTCTGGCCTTCAAGCTGAACCCTGCAACCCATTCAATATTAAACCACCCAAAAACAGGGTGTGAGTGCTGGGGAGGAGGAAGGCGAGAGCAGGATGGGCTCTGTGGGGAGCTCAGTTTTGGGGCTTGGCAGAGCCAGGGCAACAACTTTGGGGCTGAAATCTGCACCCAGCAACTTGGGGGAGGAATAAAATCCCCTGAGAAGGGCAAGTTCATGGATTAGCACCCGCAGGATGGGGACGAATACCCCTTCCCAGTGGATAGCACCATCTGGGGAGCCCGGAGCTGGGGACTACCCTTTGGCACCTCTGGGTGTTTTGGGGGGCATTGCCTGGGGTTAGGGAGTGATGCCCGGGGTCCCCGCGCAAGCTGTCACCTCTCTCATCACTTGTCTGCAAGCACCGCAGGGTGCGATGAAGTTGTCCCCCATGTCACTGCCAAAGGAGAAAAACACAGAGCTCAGTCCTGGAGGGAGGGGCAACACCCCCAGAGGACCCTTATGCACCAACAAATACAGAGCCCCGGCAAATTTCCCCCCAGATTCCTCCAAAACACCCTGCAAATCTGCCATGCCCTCCCAAAAACGTCCAGGTTGCTGCAGCAGGGTTGTCCCTGGGGTGCCCTGGGGGGTTTCCCACTGCCCCCCTTGCCCGTCCCTCGCCGTGTCCCTACCTGGCGATGGCCATGGCCCTGAAGCTGGTGTGGCCCTCAGAGATGGCTTTCTGGATGGCGGTGCGCTCGGCGCACACCCCCAAGCTGTAGCAGGCGTTCTCCACGTTGCACCCTGCAGCGAAACCCCCGGCATCCCCTCAGCCACCCTGAACCCCCCCACACGATATTTTTTTGGTGAGGGAGAGAATTTGCAGAGAAAAGCCATTTTCCACATGCACCGCCCCATCCCAGCCCGTTGCCAACACTTCCCCAAGTTATTTCCCGTATTTTTCCTATCCGCCGCGATCTTTGGCTTGCTCAATGTGGCAGCTGCCAAGAACGGGACGGGGGGG